GATTCTTTCGGTTTTTAGTTTTAAAGTTTTGGATTTATATTTCTGTGATCAAATTGCAGTATCTAATTTTAAATATCTGCATATATTTGATGTTGTTTGATCTATGAAGTTCCGGTCAACCTTGGCGTTGATTAAAGAAAATTTAGACTACCCTAAATATTTTAGAATAATTAATTAATATGATATAAATTCAAAATTGGTACAAATAAAATCTATCTTTGAACATCTAGTATTATCTAAGTTGATTGATTAATATATTATGTCACCAAGATGACCTCTTTTGTGTTGATCAATTAATTTAAAATACCAAGATGACAGTTGCGTGTGTATTGATTTCATACGGGTGATGACAGCCCCAAAGGAAGGTCATTATTTGGCCAAAATCGAAATATTCTTGTGGTAATAATTATGTGGACAGTTATTAAGTTTTTTCATGTTGATACTAAGTTGGTCCAAAGAAAGGCTTATTATTTGACAGAATTGAGTTGTCAATATTTGATTTCTACGCCAAGAGTACCACTTGCAAATTGATGTTTCTGTCCAAAGACTAAACCCAATGTTGCACTAGGTATCTTGTAAATGGGGAATGACAATTTGAATTTATTAATCATGTTATATCAAGTTTTAAAAGTGAGTTTGCGTTTCATTATTTTTCAATACAGTTGATTCAGCTATAATTATAATATCTGCTTTAAATAACTCCATTAGAATTCAGGAACTAGAGGGAAACATAAAATTTTACAAACATTAATGAGCACTATAAAATAATGCAAACTTGTTCCTATTATAAAGTATTTTGTCAAAAGAAAAGTGGAAACGAGTATTCTTTCTAGATAATTTGTTTCCATAAGGTGTAAGAAAATGGGAACATGAGGAAATGCATTATTTAAAAGTATCATCCCGGATTAAGACTAAAGACACTAAAGTTATAGTTGATCTCTCTCAAACACAGAGCATTTAGGTTAAGAACAATTTTACTGTTATTAGTAGAAGAGGACTCTTAATGAGTTCATTTCATATTGTGTGTCATAAGGGAGATTAAAGTAAGAGATGGATATACATTTGAAAAATAAATAATAATAAAGTAAGTGCTCATTTATGTTCAAAACATTCAGAAAATAAAGAATTAGGAAAAGAAGTGTAATTAAGTTGCGGTATCACAAAAGAAGCAAAATTCGAAAATTAAATTTTGTTGCTGCTTTTGTGATGGTACTTCTCTATTTGAGTTAAAAAAAATCATATTGTAATTGTTTTTTGTTTGTTTTAAGGTCATTTGATTTTAGTACCTATAGACATACTTAGTGGATGGATTCGAGTAACATTACTCACATAAGTGTATATATGCAAGATTATTTGAATCACCAAAATCTAATTGATGTTGAAAGACACATCTGTACAGAGTATTGATGAGACAATTATAGTTGAGGTAATAACTTTTTAGGTTATCATTAAAGACTAAATTTTATTTGGACTTCAGAGAAACTTTTATTGTTCTATCTTTTAGGTGAAACTCAATCACTTGCTTTAGACGAATAATAAAGTTAGCCGAAATTCTTAAATCACTTGACTTATCAGACTCCAAAGATTTGTGTTAAGCATACTAAGGAAAAACAAAACACACAGAAAGAGATCGAGTGCCATAAGGTTTTCAAATGTTGTTAGAACTAATACATACGGATATATGCAAACCATTCTTTACAGATTTCTTTTAGAATGGTCAAGCATATAGTATTATGTTCACAAACAACTTCCCATGGCTACCTCTTTACCATTAATGAGAAGTACAAAGGACTAGACTTTTTCAAAGTTTTAAGATTAAATAAAGTTTAGAAACGAATTAAAGATTAGGTGAACTATGTCTAGAGTTATTGGTCAAATTTCTTAGTGAATATGGTATGGTAATATAGTAACACTATTGCCGGATAGTACTACTACTAATAGTGTTATTATAAGACGAACTTGGAAACTAAAGAACCAATTAAGTAGTATGGCAAGTTCTACTACTTAGTTAAACTCACTAAAAGAAAAAGAAATAAAAGACTACAACTTAAAGATATGACAGTGTCCCAATAAAAGCAACAATTCTTGTGGATTATGGACGTGCAAATAAGCTAGTTAAAGGCATTTCCATATTTTGAGTTTTCCAGTTAAGCAAGGCCGCATAGGTCTACAAAAATAAAATTGGATTCGGTTTGTTGCTATTTTGTTGGATATTGAGGATATTGAGTTTGGAGGGGAAGATAAGGTTAATGACGTTGTCTTTGAAGGTTAATTTAAGACTGTATTGAAATTTTCGCTCATCAAGACAATTGTAAAGGACAAACTCAACAATCACAAGTACGGATGCCATTAAGGAAATCCAATGGAGAGAAAAGAAATATGATTATGATTAATGTCATAAAATAGATAAATATAGTAATTGATAAAAATAACGTTTAGGTTCTTTTCTCATTACCCAAAGGTGATGTAGAAAGATATAAGTGTGATTTTGTCAATCAAGAATTATCATAAGGATGAAATTATTAGAGACTTTTTCTTTGGTATTATTGGAAGTCCAGATTTTAAAACTATAGTCTACAGTGGCATATATGATACATTTTGTTTTTAGCCTTCATTAGATGGGTATTAAGAGAATGTTTCTTAATGGCGACATTTTGAGACAATCTATTTGGTGCAACTGGAAAACTTTGTTTGATGGTTTGTAAATTAAAGAATTCCATCGAAGGGCTTAAATAAGTTCCTGTTAGTAACTCAAGTACTTTTAAGTTTTCATCTCATATGGTTTTGAGGTAAATATTGTGATGATTATACGCATCACAATTTCAGTGGGAGTTTAGGCAGATAATTTTTTTTAAAATAATCATATTTAGATATTTAGTAGTAGCTATAAGGTTACGCGGAATCATTAAGGCATTAAAAATTACAAACTTATATATCAGAGTTAGGTCCAATTAGAAATCATTCAGTATCCCGACTTCGATTTTTTTTAGTTGCCTGTTTTGTCCTGAGGTTGCAAATACAGTATGGTCTTAAAAGACTACTAAAGTTATAATGTGACAATAGTGCAACAATTTAAATACTCTAATAACCGTTACATTAAGTTATTAGTTGTTAGATGTAAGTTCAGTATGAACAGGTTTTCTAAGGAGCACAATCGGACAAACTCTAATATCATAGATTACTTCACTAAAGGTCATTCTTGAGTATTTTGCTCAAATGAGTGTTGTGTAATCTGATGACACGATGGTTTAGTGGGAGTTTGTAATTTTGGTTTTACTGAGGATTCATACATTTATGAATATTCAGATATTAAAACTGCAGTATAAAGTCTAAAATATAAAGTTTAAAGTAAGTTTAGGTATAAAGTTAAGGTTTTTAGTGTGCTCATATTCTGAAATTTTGGTTGATCTCACTAAAGCATAAAGATGACCACTTGGAAATAGGCATGTTAAAGATCATATTACATGTAATTTTCATGCTACACATCCACACTTGCTTCATATCATTTAGTTATATTAATGTACGTGACCACTGATGGGTTTAGTTGCGATTAGTGCAACGAGCACCCCTTTGATTCTATGTTAATGTAACTAATGGACGGGATTGTTTCGGATACTTTTATGATAACAAATTTTGGGCGCTCTAAAGTTTTTGGTATAATATACAATTATAAGAAATATATTTGATTTATAGCCAAAGTGGGAGATTGTAAGATTTATGTAGACTTATCCACTAAATATGCAATTGCATATTACATGCTATCGTAAAACACTAGCCCACATAAAGTGATATAATTAAGTCAACTAAAGTTTGGGCTAATTATAATAATTAAGTTAAGGTGTGGCCCAGTATTGTGTAGAAACCCTATAATCCAGTTTCCTGTTCTGTGATGGGTGGAATCGGAAACTCTATTACATATTGGTTGTGATCCCCGGATGAGCCGTCATGCCAAATCTCGACTCCCCATTTGTCAGAGATTTCTGCAAGGGCTTGATAGGATCATCTGGAAGACCAAACCGGAATGATGTTCTTGCCACTAAAAATTAAGGTACGTTTTTGTTTTCGTATAGTTTTCAATAATATGACGTGGAGGTCTCTACAGTATTTGGATCTTTCCAACACCGCGGTGATAAGATTTCATTAATCTTTCGAAATGAAAACTTAATTGATCGAGAGCAACAGGTCTTTTCAGCGCTCGAGTTAAAGAGGTGCGAATACTTTGAGTTGAAAACACAGGTGTTCCTTGAATACATGCACTGATGGTTATATGTGAAGGAAGACACAAAACAGTGATTGTGCAAATAGTGAGTATTATATAGCAAGAAGGTGGATGCATGGAAAAAAAATAAAACGTGCTTTAATTTGGAGCCCCTAAATCTAAATGGCCGGCATTTAGACTGCAGCCGCCAGGGCCGGTGTTATTGACCCCTCCCCTATTTGATAATTGAGAAAACTGATAGCTTCATTAGCCTCTTTCTTTGTGTCGACCCAATTGTATGGCGATTTAACAGTTCAATCACTATTTCAACATTAGATTAATCTGGATATATATATGTGTGTATTTCATCCAAATATAATTCACACCGATGATCACGTGAATAAAATGATGGTAAATCATTTGCAGCGGTTGACTATTTTCGACTAATGATAAAGAAATGAAGAAAAATCGGTGGGGGCATTAGTGTCGGTTCGCATATCAAATGTATACAATAACGCAAAAATAATAATGGAATAACTAGATTTTAGAAGTTTGTGATATATATATTCACCGGATATTGTAAGTTATGTTAGACTCGTCATGCACCCGCACTATGTATACCACGTTACGGGTGATGTTTCCATCACTTATAAACATTTTAAACTTTTTTTTTTTTTTGAGGGCTTATGAATGAAAGTTATATATTTCCTCTATCTTTAAAAAGAAAAGTTCATAATGAATTTTGAGATTCGTACTAAAAATAGTGTTAATCTCAAAATTTAATGTGAATTATATTTTTAGAGACCAAGAAAGTACTTAAATTACTAAAAGAAAGTAAGGCGACATATATAGTCAATTTACAATTTTTATGTAGTACAATATTATACGCTAGCAATACTATTCCCAAAATTAATTTCAAAATACACGAGTTATACTATAAACAGAATTTTCATATTGTTACGGACAAAAGTATGAACAACTTATCGACTTAGCGGGTTGTAATGTAATCCCCTATAATGAAGAAAGACTTTGAAGAAAATTGGACAACACGCGAAGACTTTAAACGAAAAGAAAAAAGAGAAAGATATGTGTATATAACCAGATAGTATGGGAAACCAACAAGAATTTCATGTGGTTTTAAAATTAAATTAGGGAAAAAAAAAAAAAACCTCCTGTGATCTATAAATATCAGGAGGTGATCATATGAACAATTGCGTCTCCATCTGCTTTGCTTGTCTAAATGGCAAGCTTTGAGGAGTGATTGATAGCTCCAATTCTTTCTGCTCGTCACACTGCACATATTTGGCAAGTTACTCATGTTTTGATTTTTCAAATAACACAATGTGCACGTAACGGCAAAGGATTCTCTTTCTGTGACACAATCCAATTACTCCTTATAAATTATATAATTTGTGTCAATACATATACCATTCATAATCACTTTTGAACTTATATATAAAGGACTAGGCGTTCACTTTTTTTGAGTTTAGAGTTTGTATATTTTAATTTTCATAGTTAAAAAATTCAATAAAAATAATCAAATTTCATAAATAATAAAACATTGATATAAAAAATAAAATAAGAATATGAAAATTATCTACATTAAAAATATGTGACTACGGTATATGTATTAGCACAAATTATATAATTTATAAAGAGTAATTAGATTGTGTCACAGTAAGTGTCATAAGAAAGTGGCACAGAGGATCCTGTGCCGCACGTAACGTCTTGTGAAATACTCATGTTATTTTATTTATGAAAACACAAACTAAAAGTTAATTTACTGTAAACTTGTGCTTTACAAAATAAGACCAGAAAAGAATTCACGACAGCCAAAAAAAAAAAAAAACGCACCTTTTTCCGTAATTCTGAGTTTTCCTTCGACAGAATTTTCTCCTGAATTTAAGATAAGAAAGGAATAAGATGTCAACTTTTGAGCCTACGTGGTTGCAAAATGAATAGTTCTCACAGCTCTAAATCAGTCAAAGAGTGTGAAATTTGAACCTAATTAATTAATTAATTAATAAGATAGTAGATAAGAATATTGTGTTATCTTATAATACAATAAACGAGAATCTCCTTCCAAAATTGAAAGAGTGTTTATTTGTGTATATGCGTTGCACCTCGAAACTTTTAAATATGCTTCTTCGTCGCAAAAAAATAATAATCCACATTGTGAATTGTGGATTGAATCAAAAACATATTTAGAACTTTTAATTTATAATATAAACTATTTTTGGGGATAGAGGAAGTATTAGTTTATTACTCTCTGTGTTCTAAAATGATTGTCTAGTTTTGTTTTTTTTTCAGTAGTATATAATTTGAACTAAATTTGAAAATTTAAAACTGAACAATCATTTTGGACCGAGGGACTAAAATGCTAAATCTCATTGTACTCATACACCTGGTAATTTAGTTACGATGAAACAATCATTTGTAAATTATTGATGGAATCATGATATCTCGATATCAATACATCGTTTACCTGTTCCTTCAATTTATCAATTTGCTCCTTGTACAATAGCGCCTGCGGAAAATTAGAATATCGAAACAATTTAAAACATTGATTTTTTTCACCCAAAATAAAATGAAATTCCAAAAATATCCACTGCAAATTGACTGTACGTACCTTTCTTGACCTAATCGTGCTAATACTTTTTTCCAACTGTCTTTCAATTTGCTGCAGTTCCTCAACAGAAGCACAATCTAAACCTTCTCCCATGTACTTTCTGTCACCATTTCATCATTTTACGCACTTAATTTTGAGTACTGATTTCTTTAGTTATTTTTTGTTCTCAATATTAACAATTTAGTGTTTGTAACGCGTGGATTAATAGAACAATCAATGAAGGATCGGAGATAAAATTGGAAACAAAAATGGGGAAGAACAGTATCTCGTAGCTTTGAGTTGAGATCTCAATATATATTAGGGAAGATTTGATACCTTTTACTTTCTTCAAGAAGGTCCAGTTTCTTCCTCAGGTTCGCAATATCTTCTTCATAATGCTGCAAAAGTGAACAGATAAAAGGATTGTTTAGCAAAAGCTTGATGCATGTTCCATCATGAATCTCCTATAGTATTAGTACCAGATCAATCTTCATATCAAAAATTAAATTGCGCCGAGAAACTAAAGTTCTATTATACTCCCTCCCGTCCTTATTTATAAGGTATTTTGATTTGTCATAAGTTTTACCTAAGATGTGTTTTTAATTAAGAAAAAAATATAAAAAAATATTTTCTAATAATTAGGACAACACAAAGAATGTTAAAATAAATTTTTAAGTTTTTTTTTTTCAAATTAAACATACATCCTAGGTAAAACTTAGGACAAAATCAAAATGCCTTATAATAAGGACCAGGGGAGTATATGATATGTGTATCTATCCTTTATTGTAAATGTACGTAGTACTCTCCTCCAATATAAGACACCTTGTAACAATGATTCAGTTAATGAGAATAATAAGTTCAAAAAGCTTCATTAATCTTATTCCAAGATATCAACCAGGGAAGAAGAAGAAGAAGTATTTTGATGTTCTAACTGAAACCGTGAAAACAGTACTATTAAGTTTTCCATGCATGGATATTGATTAAACAAAACTAGAAGAGATTCTCGAACCTGTGAATCTGCCTCAGCTAGCTTCTTGCTGAGATATTGATTCTTGCAGCTCTTCTCATAGCGGTCTATTATATGGTTGGCACTATTTGAAAAAAGTAAAAGAAGAAGAAGAAGAAGAAGAAGAAGAAAAGAAATTAACAACTGATGAACAAAAAACTGCTGGATATACCATTGAAATAGAGTATTACATACAAGATGGCTACATGCAGCAATATGTAAGCTTTATTGTCCCAAGCTCACTTGCAGTACCAATAGGTAACTAACTTGTTTTTATATATAGTACGCACTCCGAAACCACTGGTCTAACTCGTCCATATTTGAATCATGTAAGTTTTTATTGAGAGGCAAAAGACGATCTTCAATTTACATGCAACACTACTGCATAAAATAGTTTACTTTCGGTAGCTATTTAGTAACAAGGAAAGCAAAATGCTTGAGTTTGGACTCAGGCATTAGTTTGAGATGAGTGTACTTCACTTTGGATTTAAAAAAAAAAAAAAAGCTATGGAGAAAGGTAAAATTAAGTAAATGAACCAACGTAGTCAAGATTTAGCTAAAGCACACAAAATTTAAGCTCATAAAACTGAAAATTGTTTCAAACCTTATATTTATTAGCATAATAAACTTGAATGACACGACAAATAGAATAATTATTTTGGGATGGCGAAAGTAATGGTTACGTTTAACTGTTTTAACTATATACTCCCTTCGGTCTTTATATAAACCATTTTGATTTCTCATAATTTTTCATTTATCGTATTTTTTTAATTAAAATGAAATCTTAAAAATTCTATATAACAAATGGGAAAACAAAATAAATTAATATGAAAATGCATCTCCAATTGAAAGAATACAATAAATAAACTTTAGGAGAAATTAAAATGTTTTATACTCCCTCCGTCCCATAATTATTGTCCAGTTTTACTAAAATGAAAGATTTTATTTTTAGTCAAACTTAACTATATTTTACCTTGAACAAGCGGATATACCCCTACATAAGTAATTGTTTAACCACAAAGATTTTAATGGATAATGTTTTTTACTAAGGACAAATGTGTAACTTGATCCATAAAAAGTCAAATTGGACAATAATTTTGGGACAAAATTTTTTGGGCAAAGTGAACAATAATTATGAGACGGAGGGAGTACGAAGGATCAGAAGGAGTATCTCCCATCTCCTATGAAGCTTCAAGGACAACTGAAAAAATGTTTTCCAAGATATCTATGCAACTGTTTTATACTCGCAAATATATTTTTTCCTAAATGTATCACTAATAAATGAATCTCTTTGTGACTAGCTTTCAGAAGAATTGTAGCTATTATTTAGATTAGTACGAACTCTAACCCCTAAAGCACACCACTTGACCTCATATTGAATCGTGCTTGTTATGCATGAATGGCTGATAGACATGAAAAATCATAGGCTGTGAATTCATGATGCATAAAGTCCAGTATGTGTTCCAATTGAAAACGCAAAGTCATCACTCATATTGCTCAAAAAGTGAAACATAATTATATCTTCAGCTTGTTCCATTTTATCTGTCGCGTTTATTAAACTAAACTAGTGTAACAAATTGAGGCGGAAGGAGTATGTTTACATCTTTTTATTGATACCGTAACATTGAATCATGTCAACAAATTCAATATCAAAATATTTGATTGCCCCAAAAAATAATTAAAAATTATAAAATACTCCAATTGAGAAGTATGAAGTGAAGAGATTACCGGATTAGCTACGATATATACATGTGTATACCACACGAAGAACTGAGTGGGAACATGACCTACAAACTAATTTCTATAGTACACTTCTTGATATTGTAAATTCAGCGTGGCAGCTTACATATATGTGTTGTTTATTCAGTTTATAAGTACTAACTTTAAACGAGGATTTGATTCCAACCTCAAAAATATAAAAATATCTGAAGGGGTGAGGAAGATCCTAAGCAATATTGAGATGCAGCAGTACTAAAGATTCAGTTCAGAAAAACATCAAGGTAATAAGATTATTTCAGAGACAAAATAGTACAAAAAGGGTCCCCTTGGCTCACATAAAGCCCAAGAACACATTGATTTGTATTTTGGTTGTCCTCTTTTCTTTTCATTTTTCGTACCTTTCCTTTTTTTTTTTTTTCAAACTATTTTAGAATGAGCATAATGATTTCTCCAATAAATCTAGCTCTACATCGTAACACTACAATTTAAGGTGTTATACTTACTCCACAAGAGTTAAGTTGCGTATGCTTTAGTTCATAAAACGAGACTCTTATTTTAGAACAGACGGAATAATTAAACGCGTACGGCGAATTTTCCGGCCAAATTAAATTGAGGGTTGGAGTAGTAGATCAAGTGAAAGAAGATGATGAATTATATTATTGGTACGTACCTGGAACTTGTGAACTCATAAAGCTTTCCCTTTGGAGAGAAAATCAAAAGGGCAATTTCAGCATCACAGAGAACTGAAAGCTCAAAGGCCTTCTTAAGAAGACCACTTCTTCTCTTTGAGAAAGTCACTTGCCTACTGGTTGCGTTCTCTATCCTCTTCATCTGAGTTTTCCCTCTCACCATTTTCAAGTCCTGCAAGACAAACCATAAATAAGAATAATTTTAGTAGAAATCAAAGATCCAAGTTTGAAGATGATATATCATTGAAAACTCAATGAAACCCAAATGAATAGTTTCGAGAAAACAGGAACCCAAAAACTTTGGATGAGGGATGAATGGATTTTTTTTCATGTCTTATGATTGATGGTTCTAAAAATGGTAAAATCAGACAGCACAACCTTTTCTGGGATGTCTCAGATCTGCAAAGATTGGAGATGATAAAGCTGTGGGAAAGACCTTGGTTAGGTATGAGTAAGACAGCAATGTAGGAACCCTAAGAAGATTTTTTTTTTTTTTTTTTCTTTCCTGGCCAGATGTAAGCTAGGTAGGAGGAGGGAGAGAAAGAAAGAAAGAAAGAACTTTGATGATATGCTTCTCAAAGTCCTCTGGTTTCCTTAATTCTAAACCGTAGAATATTTATATTCGTAGTTAGATTTTTTTTAAAAAAAAAAAAAGAAAGAAAAGAAAAGAAACAAAAAATGATTTTAAGGAAAGACCAGTTTCAGGATAGAAACCTCAAAATACCTCATTATATCAATTTTTTTCTTATTTTGGTAAACTCGCGAGCAGCACGAAAGAGGACCCCTCCTAGAAAAAGAAATGGTGGACAAGTGGGAAGCCTCATTAAAAGCATTCATTTATGGTTTTTAACGTTTTATTTTTTAGTTGGAAAAGATGCCCAATGGTAGGGGACCATATATATATAAGAGGGGGGTGAAATTCCGGAAGCTATTTTTAGGTTTGTAGCTAGAGATGGACAGATGAGCATACTATTTTATTCTCAAGTCCAATATAAAAATTACATGTAGTAATGTTTTGGTACGAATCTCAATGTATTTTGCCCTTGTTCTTCTTTCGGTTTAGTGCTTCTTTGAGACTTTGAATCGAATCCTTATCATTATTAGCCCTTTTTTTTTCGTTTTTCCTTTCTCAAACTTTATCTTTTGTTACAAATGCAGGTTAAAACACTGAAAAATTATACTATCACAAAATGTATCCCTAACAATATCGTGATATTATACCATGTATCCTGATATTAAACGGATTGCTTATCCTCAAATGTACTTACTTAGTCGCTAAACTTTTGCCTCACTCATTGATACCGAAAAAGAAAAACATTATGGTGATGAAATAAAGAAATCCAATTTATTGGCACATAATATGTAGTAATAAATATGTTGATGCTAATAAAGTCATAAAAGTTATCACAAATTCGATATGATTCTAAAAAAAATCTTCCCAGCTCCACAAATCCTAGATTTCCCTCACACACAGGGGTCCTGGTTCCATGGAAATGATAATTCAGTTATCTCTACCTCAGGCCTCGCAGTCAATCCAGCAACACTTGCCCTTGATCCACACCATGATTAAACAACCATTGCATATAATTGTTAGAGCTCAATTATGATAATAACACCTTATATTCATCACAAAACCTACTTTCCAGTGACGTTTGGGATCCGAGAATTATATAATTCATGATCAATCCCATCAAAATGGAAAACGCAACATCAGGATTCACTCTCCACCACGCCATTAGATATTTATAAGAGATACGTTTTACATATTTTATCATCTTAAAACAAATGACCCACAAAAAAAAACCAATAAAGGATTTCTTTTCAACATACCGTAATTACATCAATAAATTTTAGTGAATTTTCTTCTGTACTGGTTAGGTAGAGAAAATGAATAATGAAGCCTAAGATTAGTAGATGCACCAGACTTTCTTGAGTAAATTAACCAGCTTTAAAACGTGTTTCAAAATTGTGGTTGCCGCACAAATCTTTTTTTTTTTTTAATCAACTATCTTTTAATACCATTGAAATGATAACTGTTCCTCACTTTTATTAGTTTACTCTCTCTAAAAATTCATTTAGGTTATGCCTTGTAATTAAAATCAGAGAAGTAATGTATATATCTGTCCGGTTATACCATTGAAAGAACTAAATACTTTTAGGTAATTTTGGGGAAAATAGAGGAGAACACACACTCACTGGGTGGGTTGCCGGTGAACGAGGAAGCAGTACTAAAAACACATGTATAAATCTGTCCGGTTATACCTAAAAAAGCAAAAGAGATTTTGATTCACATATCCTTGTCGGTTGTCAAATTTAGCAGCCTGGCTGTTGATATGTATACTTTTGTCTATTAACCCAATTGAAAGATTCCAATTTATATATAGTCACACATATGCAGCTAAAAATGTTATTTTCCTTCACCCCGTAAATAAATGTATATAGTATACGTCTATATATGTCATGTCACAAAATATTTTAATACTACAATATTGCTTGCTGAAGTTATGGTTAACATATTTCTTACTACAACGGAGAGAATTACGTGTCTCAATCATTTATTCCAAAAAATGAATTACAGTTACAAGCTAATTTGTCCATTGATGGAATGTCACTCGCTCCTTTCCAAATCTAGGATTATGTTTAGTAAATTAGAGCAGTACAGTAAACATGGTCTCTTGTAGTAATCATGTGTGGTTCGAAATTAAAAAACAAAAAGATCTAAACAACTAGAAAAGAAATAGTAAATAATGTATTTTACGAGTTGCTTAATTTTGTTTAAAATAAAAGGGGATAAGAGTACACAAAGTATTTTTTTTTTTTTTTTGAATAAAGAAAAAGTGGTGAAAATTGACATTATATTTTGTCCCAGCAGAGGCAGCAGCAGGATTCGGGAAGCTTTCGGCAAAGCAAATGTAAAAAGAATATGAGGAATATTTTTTTAAGAAAAAAAGAAAAAAAAAAAACAAAAATTGAAAGCGCACTTTCCTAATTAGATTTGTTTCATTTTTTTAATGTGTGTATTTAAATATTTTTTTATTGAAAATGTAGAAACGTATATTAAAAATGTAAAAAAGTATAATAAGATAGAACAGTTATTAATTAAAAAAAATAAGCTGAAAAAACCATTAAAAAAAATAATCAAACAAACAGAGATATTAGCAAGATGGTGACACACTGTAATAACTAGTCGTCTTTCCGTACAATCCGTGGCATAAATTAACCACTTAGATGACGACAGCTCAGCATCGGGAACCTGACGTCACGTGGTCTTGTTCCGTGTTGGAGTTCATTTTCATTAGGTCTACACCCACGTACGAACGTCTGCTTCAAAGTTCAAACTTAAAAACTCCAACAAAATTGTGTGGCTTCTTGTGTTCCACATTTTTTCGCATCAGGTTAGAAATATACCTTTTCATCACCATAGAAAATTTGGAGAGATATTGCCCTTCAAAGTTCAAGGGTCCAACCGAATAAACCACTCCTTTTAGCAGCAACTTGTAATAAACCACTCCTTTCACCTGCAAATAATGCTTTAACGATTTATCCTAATACAAAAATCAAAGGGACGTCTAAGAATAAATACCGGTTTGTTATGATAAAAATCACCGTATCAGTTTGTTGATATTCTTTTTTGAAACCCATCATTACTAATTCACTGATGTTACTAATATATTTTGCTAACCTGGGATCGAAAATCAATATCATCCAAAACAAAAACAACATGGAAATATAAAACCAATGCTTTTTTTCTTTTTCTTTTTTTTTCCCTCCGTGCAATATGATAACTACAGTATATTGTAAAGTTACATGTTACAACTCTATATTATTTTATTGTTGTAATTATAATAAGAACACAATAATCTAAACAAAACTAATTAATTAAGCAAGTTCGATACAAGAATGATACTCTTCAGGAATAAACTAATTCACTCAAAATGCCGCGGAGCTGGGGACGGAGGAGCGAGGTCGCATCTGCTCAATTTTTTGTACTTAGTAGGGATATTTTAAATTTTCAATAAAAACTATGTGTTGATTCATTTTTTGCATCCCCCAATATTGATTTTCAGGCTCTGGCATTGTGTGCCGGGGGATTCATCTGTTCCAAATCATTTGAGAGTTGAGAAGACATATCTTTATTAACAGTGTCAAATAATCTACCGTAAATCTTTTTATATATATATATATAAATAACCCATACAGACTCTTTCAAACCTCTCTCAGGTAGATACGTACGTTATACATCGAACCAGGGACGGAGAAAGACACTTACAGCATCGCATCCATCTATCCCCGTATGAAAACCACTATACCTTAGGCGCTGAAAGTAGATATGACGTATTGCTCAAGCATAAGCTAAAGTCCCCAACACTAATAATGTACATATAATTAACCCGTGTCCTATACATATTGTGAGGTGGTCGCTTTCCTCTCTTACAACATCCCCCACGCGTAGCTTTTGAATTCCGTTGGCAGGTTAATTACAGTTTAAAAAATACTCTTTATTATAAAATTATTATCTAGTTTAAATTTTTAATTTATATTTAAAATAAAAATCCAGTTTAGATAATAATTTCGGAACAAAAAAAAGTAGCTTCACAAGATGAATTTGACTAAGACTTGTGAATTTTTTACAAAGTTGATTAATCACTTCCAACTCCACTGCTCCCACCTTTGAAACAAGGTCACAGTACACAGTTTAATGTTTTAAAAGAATATATAAAACACAGTCACACACACAGTACTGTTCATGCCAGAACCAAGAAGCAATGAAGTAGAGTGTCTTTAAATCTGGGCAGCATGTGGGCATTCATAGTACTCGAGGAACCAACGGAACAGAGAGAGATAGATGTATAATTTATTAGAATTGCTGAAAGTAGTATTAACGCTGTATTGTTGCTGGGAAGCCTCCATGAATGTACCAAAGGGAGGGGACCAGTTTTGTGGATTTAATTAAGCACTAACCAACCCCACCCACTAATTAATTTAAATTACCACCAATCTGATATATATATATATATATACATGATTCCCCTTTTTGTTTGCTGTTTTCATTATTTTATATATAATATTAGGTTGGTGTTGTTATCATTATCATTTGATAAAAGTTATTTCATCCGTACTAGTTTTTACTCTTTTTTTTTTTCCTGAATCAAAGTGAAAACAAAAAGTTTTAAAATACCAAACAAAAATAAAATTGAGTCGATATCTCTTGATCAATAATTCAAGATACAACCATGTAAGGAAAGACCAAGACATTTATATTCCGAAATAAGATACTCCATAAGTCCATATTATGTCTCATCTATTACACATATACTACTACATATATTCCGCAACTCTTTCAAAAATTTTAAAACAAAAAAGAATAACAAGAAATTGGAACCTTTTCTTTCCTCGCCTTCCTATGATGTGGAAGATGGGATAAATAAGACAATGATTTCTTTTAGATTCGAGGGGGGAAAAAATGAAGAGAAAATTTTAGGGCAAAAATAGGAGGTGCAGCTACATACGGTACTCTAAATAAAATACTATTTGAAGGTGTTTTTTAAACAAAAATTATAATGTCCTTAAAAAAAAAATTCCTTAATTATTTTTTTTGTATTGATTAATTAGGACCTAATTACCATTAGAAAGCTCTTATTGGTTTTCCACATCAGATCACACTAGCTATTATTATTAACAAAGGGGGAGTAGGGGACCCCCATAGTACGAAATTTATTCATTATTTTCCGCAAAAGCTGCAGCATTTTTTTCCAGGTTGTAAGAACTCTATAAATTTATTCTATGATTGAGGAGCTACGCTTTGCTGGGGCCTATATAATTCTTGTTACTACAGTATTTTCAAATAATGTTAATATCCGGCCTTGATACTGACATAACACTCTTAAGCGCCCCTACTCTGTAGCAAATGTTTCCTGCTTTTAAGGAAAAAAAAAAAAAAGGAATCAGTGACTTCTATGATTAAGGATTTTTTAGGGGAAAGATTCTGTTTACAGTAGGCAAAACATAGAATTCCCCAAAGTTTCTAAATCTAGACATGCTGCTTTTAACCGAAATCGCGGTTTGTTTGTTTCGTTTTTTTAGTGTGTGTTTTAAGGTGTTTTTTTATTATGAATGAGAAAGGTAAAAAGATGTATTAGAAATGTACAAAAATATGTTAACATGAAACAATTATTAATATATTAATCTGAAAATACCATCAAGAAAAGGAAACAAACAAAGTATAGTAACCCAAGTCTTTTGTTAAGCATTTTCTTCTCTTGTAAAAGTACGTAGTCTCCTAATACTTAGTAGATATAGTCGGAAACTATTTATTACTCTCTCTTTGTTCATCAACATCAATATTCCAAATGTAGGAACTAAAATTATAAAAATTTGAGTCGTGAGATTTTTATCATCTCAAACATTGTCATAAATTTGATTAACACATACTCCTTCTGTCCCAAAATTATTGTCCAATTTGAAATTTCACTTTTAGTACAATTTGAACTAGAAATGAAAATCCAAACTGGACAATAATTATGGGACGGAAGGAGTAATTCTTTATTATTCAATATATCGTACTAATTGTTCGATTTAAATTGTTGTCATTTCATTTTGAGTTTTAGTTTGAAAAAATGTTTGGCCTTTTCGGCTTTATAACATCGATGCATTGTTAGTTTCATCGCAACCTTAGTTTCATGTTTATTTGGGCCTTGTCTCATTGCATTTTAATTTCGTTTGAAGTTCTCATTGCAGTATTTTGTTTTTTGATTTTTGAATCAGATAAATTTGTTACGGAATTCTGTTTTGAACCTGCATCTAAACTGAGCAGTCGTTGAGCAAAAAACAACCAAAAAAAAAAAAAAAAAAAAGAAAAAAAAAGACGATCCATTTGTCTGATTCCAATTTAGCTCATTTGAATTGGGTTGTCTTGCCCTTCTCATTCCCCAAGCCCCAAGGTATTCAGCCCGTTTCCGTTGGGCGTTATCTACACCAATAAACTAGCTTGTGTTTTTTCTTCTTCTTCTTCTTTTTTTTTTTTTTATTTTTAATCCAAATGAAAATGTTCAAATACAGTGCATGCCTAATAAAGTTTCTCTAAATTCAGTAAATTGGATTGCCCTAATTCCCCACCTAGCTTTCCTGAAAATTAGAATCAAGGATTATCTGATCACTCACCTTAAGTGAATTGTGGATCAGAATTCAGAATAATACACTCCACCATCTCATCTTCTTTGTTTCTCCAAAGACTCGATGCTTTTCACAACTCATGTCCATTCTTGTTTCCAATTAAACCAATAAAAATCACCGATTCTGAGTGGAAGAAACAGGTGTTATACTTTCGTAGCTAGTTTCAACTTAAGCGGAGAATTACAAAAAGTTACAATGTTATAAAGGCTAGCGATATTGTAAAACCAGTTTTTAGTTGACAGAGCAAAATTTTGTTTAATTAACAAGATTACCCCCTTTCCCTCTTTTTCAAGATGGCCATCTTCTTATTCATGTCTTCAAAACTATCTTTGTGATTTTCCTTTCCCAATAATTCAACTCCGTTTAACATTCATTCACCAATCTACTTCTCTTCACTTCAATTTGATCGGGAATGATGACAAATTCTTCAGTTCTCTTTTGTTCAGAAAAAAAATATTAAAAAAAAAATCAACTAAATTAATTAACAAGCTGTGTCGAAGTGTCAAAAACCATGCTCAAGAAACTAGCTATGAAACATGTAATCAGTATAATTGTCCTCGTCGCGACTTGCGATGGCTTCAAAAAGTCCCATGAGGCCCGAAAGGTTGTGTAGTTGATTTCGTCTAACATTGCAACACTTTCGGAAAAGGACCAAAAGAATGTTTGATAATGAGTCATTTATATTATGAGCATACAAGCAGACGATTATGTTGGTAAAATTCGGTAAAAACATTTATGACCAAAGCGGAGCTCTGTACCAAGATCATTAGGTTTGTGGCTTTAGAGACGACATCGTCGATGTTATTGGCGTTACTCAATTCTCAAAAGACTTAAAGCCAATCGCCCAATGTCACAACCGCCTTCTTCAAATTGAGCTTCCGTCTCCAAATCGATACTTTAAACATGGTGATAACCCAAAAGGAATGCTTGAGAGTTGAGAACATAAAACTAACTTGGGCGAATATCAAAAACACCCCCTGAGGTTTAACCCATTCTCTAAAACACCTCTAGATTTGATGGGTTTTGTCTGCTAATAGATTAGGAAGAGATCGGATAGGACTGAAAGTCAAAATTACTAGCTTGTATTCTTTGCTCTTTCTTTTCTATTTTTAAGACATACTCCCTCCGTTCATACTAGTAAGTATCGTACAATATGCGATACGTATCGCACAATACGTATCAAAATTAAGGATTTCGATACGTATCGTACGATACATACGATACACAATACGATTGTGTATCGTACGATACAAAAACATAGAGGAAAAAAATTTAAACTTTTGTTTTATAATAACCGTTTAAATTTTAAATTAAGAGCGAATTTCATTTACAATTTGTTTTAAATAGATATTATTGATTTATTTCTTTCACAAACATAATCTTTCTCAATTAAAGACAGAACCGCTTAATAAATTATCATAGTCTAAAAAATAATATATTAAAAATATTATTTTATTCATAATATCATTTTCCAAATCAAGCATAACTAATAGCATGTTGAATAAATGCAATACATATTTATATTAATTTTCTCACTATTAAATTTATGACTATAATAACAATTATCATGAAAATGATATTTATTACATGGGTTGTACGACCATTATTCATGTAATTAATGAGTAATTTGTGTAACTTTCAAATAATCTTGAATTCAACTTAATCAATTTATTTGTTTATAGCTGAAAAATAAAAAAAGTATAAATATATCAATGACATATGGATTTTATGATATTTATTATTTATTTTATTCATAGTAGTATATTAAAACGTATCTTATGATACGATACACGATACGATACGCGTATTATAAATTTAGGTTTTTGATACACGATACGTATCACGATTTGATAACTATGCCTCCGTTCCATAATTATTGTCCAGTTTGGGTTTTCATTTCTAGTTCAAATTGTACTAAAAGTGAAATCTTAAATTGGACAATAATTTTGGGAGAGAGGGAGTATCAAAATATTCAAGTATAGTGTACGTAGTAAAGTTTTCTCTGTAGTCTAAATTCAGTAAATTTGATCTGCCCAAATTTCCAACCTCATCATCAGAACAATCCTCGCTCAACTTCCAACCCTTTTTGCTACTGTTCTTATTTATACGAATCCGTATAGGACTATAGAACTATTGGATTGTCGACAAAGTGACATAATTTGCAATTTTAAAACTGTCTTATAGCATATATTGATGAGTCGATAAAGTATTATGTACCACAAAAGCAATAATCTGATTTCAAATACTACCACTAATCTTTTCAATAAAAGTCAAAATAATAAATTTGGCTAACAAACCCACTCAAATAGAGACAAGAACAAAGGAGTCCATGGACGAACGCATATCCTGCTACATAATTGTAGTAATATTTAATTAAGGAATCAGGAATTCAACGGATGAAGGCATTAATCGCCTAAGCTTTGTCTCCGCTGCATTTCTGGCAAACTTTTCCGTTCCAGGATACCTGGAACTTTCATAGAGTGCGTCAAACACCAATTGGTCACGAGGGTCAACAATGATCCTTTCCAGAGCTGTGGCATTTTTCAAAAAATACCTGACTAATTTATCATTTGTTTTTCTACCTAAATATCCACGAAACTCAAAAACTTTAAGGTGTTTGCTGACTAAAGGACGGCAGCGGCGGCGATCACCTGAAACTATTTCCTCAATTCCTCTCGGGAATTGTTTGTTGCTCGGGAGTCCTTTGTTGTTAACAAGCAGATCTACATTCCAAAAAATCTGCAGCAATAACGTGACACAAGCAGAGGAAAAATGCATAAGTCAGCTTATCTACTACCGATAATGCTTAGAAATAAAAGAAAAGAGAAACATATATATGTACCTTCAGTACAAACTTCTCCAAGTTGGGCGATAAGTTTATTAAATAAGATGATAAATGAATAAAGTCGTTGTCTCTCCATGGATTGACATATACGATTAGTTGCTTCACTGCAGTAAGCTGGGGAACATCAAGAACCCTTGTTTTTCCCTGGGATTTATGGTGAAACCAGAATAAAATACCATTTGAAAGAAAAGAACTTAAACGGAGACCATGTCTAGATGTACTAACCTCTATGTCAACAAGATCATCATGAGCGAGACTTAAGCTAAGAACCTCCACTCTGGACAAGCAGCTGGTTTTAAGCTTTGGAATTATTTCTCTAAACAACCATTCAGAAACGCACACATCCACAAGCCTTGGAACATTTTCTAGCACCAAATTACTCACTCGAGTAAAATTGATTGAGATAAGATGAGGTGCATCCCGCACAATGATAGATTGCAAATACTGACAGTACGTTATCTCCAGATGTTTTAATGCAAGAGATGGACCCAAAACTACAACACTCAACATATCTTTGGAGCAGGAGCCCTGCACTGTGAGATGTTCTAAAAAAGGAGATTTGTTCAAGAAAAGATGAATATCCTCCCCAGTCACGTTTACACTTCCTAACCTCAAGGATCTAAGGTTATAGTACTGATGAAAACCGGCAAAATGATGAATGCTTGATTCGTCGCTTCCATTGCTATTGTCATCGAGGAGGAGCCTGGTAGGGAAATTATAATGATAATGTTCTTGCGTAGCGTACATGGGGCAGCCTTTATCTAACAAGTTCAATTCCAGCCTTTCCACTCTCCTTGAAAATGCATAGTGAACCCATTTATCAATGTCATCTTGGAAAAACCTGTTCAACTCAAAACAAATCCTGAACTTGTCAATCCTGAAGCCTTTGTGTGACTGCAACACCTTATTGACCCATTCGACATACTGACCTCTCATTTCATTGAAGAGAGGAGTGCCCACAATATATTCTGAATCTTTAGAAGGTTCGAAATCGAGCTGAACAACAAACCTCCAAAGTCCAACCCAGTTTTTTGACAGCACACTTGTTCTTCCAGCTTCTTTCAGTGTCATAAAAGATAGAATGTGAACCAGAATCTCGGATGGTAAATCTTCCAGGAACTGCTGGCTTTTGGCACACTTCATTTATTCATTAAAAACATAGAGAGAGAATTATCAAATACATTTAGGAACATCTTTCTGGATAGATTAGCAAAATAACCTTATATAACCAAAAAAAAAAAAAAAGAACAACCGGAAATTACAGATACATCAGGGATTATCTGATCACTCACCTTCCTGAATTGAGAATCAGAAGCCATCATCTTCTTTGGTTTTCCAAAGACACGATGCTTTGCACAACTCATGTCCATTCTTGTTACAAAACTAATAACAATCGAAGATTGAGATGAGGAAACTGATATTAACAAGTAAGGTAATGCTTTCATAATTTCAACTTAAACGGACAAGTACAAATAACTAACTAAGTAAATCAGGAGAATACAAGATAAAGCTTACTAAGAGATTCAAGAAGACAAACAACAAATATGCCTAACCTTAATCAATAAAACGAGCCATAGAGAAGGAGTAGGGAAAAAAACCATTGAAAATTTTAAAATACTGGAGCGATCAGAACTTTCTTTACAAGAATCTAGCAATACCTCAAAATTTTTACCACGAATGGACGTTTATCTTGGCATTTCTTTTTCTCGTTCATTCATCTAAAATTAAGGCTCGACCAACAACATAAACGACATATTATGTTAGTATCCTAGATTTGTCTGTTTAATACAGTAAATAAAGAGAGAAAAAGGGTACATTTAAATTTTCACATTGTCCACGCGGGCAATTTGCAGAAAACCAGATAAGAGTGTTGGGAATTTCGATAATATAAAGAGAAATGTGGTTTTCACGGAAATAACCTGTGATTGATGTATGATTTTTTGCTGCTCTTTCACTCGTCGGAATCTGAAATCACCATCCGCCGCCAGTTTCGACTTTCACCGGAGGCAGAATATGCCGTCGCCAAATCGTATAATTCACCAACGAAACTCCCAAGCCCTAATATTTATATGATTTTTGCTGGACTTTCAATCATCGGAATCTGAAATCACCATCCAGAGCAGATTTCGAGCTCACCGGACGCAAAATATGCCATCACCAAATTACAGATTTCACCAAGGAAACTCGCAAGCCCTAATTTTTGCCATGAAACACCCTAAATTAGCCACCAACAATGCGCCATCGCCGCGCAAAATTACCTGCTGTAACGAAATGGGGAAGCACCGGAGCTGTAGCGTTATCGAGAGCAGGAAAAATTGTCGTGGTGGAGAAAAGAGAACAGCAACGACGGCGGAGGTGAGAAGAGAAAAGCCGGAGATTTACCGTTTAGAACTTGTGGGGGTGGAGAAAGGAGGAGAAGGAAAAAGGTAGAAGGCAAAATCTATCTACAGTCAATCTCATCACAAACTACATTTTACTCCCTGATTTTTGGCTCTTTAACAAAATGAACCCCTAGTTTTGGTAATCCTGCGAAAGCCCCCTTGACTCCTGATATCGGAAGGGTCGAACTGTTGAGCGCCCTTATTATTTTATTTAAGCGCCCGCGAAAGACCGACACGCCTCTTGAAATGGAGGTAAGTTTTTTTTTTCGAAAAAGGGGGGAGGGAGGGCGAGGGAAGAACGCGCCAGCCGTTAACGGCTGGCGCAGGAGAAACACCCCACCCCCATAGGGGTGGCGTGCAATAAACTCGCCTCCCTTTACAGGAAGGCGAGACAGCCTTTGCCTTAGGCGAAGGTGGTGGCGCCAGATTTGGCGCCACCTTTGTCCGGGTTGGCAACCAAACGGGCGCCACCCATTTTGTTTTTAATTTAAGAATTTTTTTAATAATTTCTTAATATATTTAATATTTATTAGTTTAATTTTTTATTATTAGTTTAATAAATTTATTTAATTCATGTATTTATTTTATTTGAGTATTTGTTTGGTAGTTTAATATTTGTTTAGAAAATTAGGGTTTATGCTAATTAGGGTTTATGATATTTAGAGAATGTTTTTTAATTACGTATTTTGTTCATAGGTTGTAGTTGTTATATTAAATGAGTTTATTTCTTGTTAATAATGTATTTAGATTGTTATATGTTTTAATTATGTTAATTATGTAGTATGATCATATGAAATAGTTTGTTTCTTGTTAAATGGGTGTTTAGGTAGTATGTTAATGGGTATAGGGTTTAGGTGTTAGGGTTTAGGGTTTTTCTTAAAATAACGAGTTTTTGTTAATAATGTATCGAATTTGTTATTAGTATATATTAATTATCTTTAAAGTATAAGATCATTGTATCGGATTATATATTTTGTTTTTGGCTCATAGCAAATTATTTGTGGTTTAATATTATTAGAGTTAATTTAAGTTATGATATAATTCATTTTTAATGTGTGTAGAATAGGTTTGATCAGGGGAATGGAGTCGATTATAGTCCGGCTTTTGCTACAGACGAGACTTTTGCCACGAATAAGAAAGCTGTTGCATATGCGAAGGGTATTGCGAATATCTACAACATAGAGTTAAGTGTATCCTCGCACAAGGATAATAGTACTATACTCCTTTGTCATAAAGGATGGCGGGTACCAAGGTCAACAGGTGGATGAAAACGTGCGCGCCCAAGTCAATACAAAGACACAGATGACCGGATGCCAGTTTCGCATTGCTATTTACAAGATAATTGGTCCCAATTTTAGCCCGTTCTACAGTATATTAGGAAGACATGGTCAGTGGTGGCGGACAAGTTTGTGCATGCATCGACCAACATTTATTTGCATCTTGGCAGCACCACTACTTGTAGAGTGGAGAGCGCACACAAGTTGTTAAAGGAATGGCTCGGCACTGCAAATGTTTCTTTTGAAACGGTCTGGCACAGGGTTCACATATTACTGGAGACACAGCTTACGCAAATAAGGTACTGGATTTTGATCTCTTTTTAGTTAATTTGTGTGTTTAGTTTGTTTAATTAATTTGTTATAATTCCTCCACCGGGAGAAATTGCAAGAATTAAGGCAGAAAATAGGGAGGCAAGACAACAAGTACTCTTTCTACCAATTAAGATGCAATGTTTCACACTACTGCTTGGATCTATTGAACAATGAGTTGGAAGGGGCACAGCTACTCGGAGATGATGTGTATTGGGAATGCAATCATTACCTGAAGCAAACTCATTCCATCCCTTGTGCATGTATACTTAAGCGTATAATGGAGGCCAACGAGATTTTGACTCCAAAATACTTACACCAATTTTGGAGCACACTTGACATCGATAAGGTAACAGAGAAGGATAGTTCGGATGATGTTCCCCCTCACAGATGGTTTAATTCAAGCACTTTTGTTACTGACCCATGCGAGAGCAGGTACATGGACTGGGCAAGGTGGGACGAACACGAGCAGTTCCAGTAGAGGCCACAAGTCGGGTTCTAAACCCAATGGCGGAGGTACGATTATAATTTATATTGTTCTTAAATACTGATATGTAATCCAGAAATAATGATATTATTTTACTTGGTTAAAGATGTGATGCAGACAGACTTTTTCCAGTTTAGGCATAAGAATAAGATTCCGCAGATACTCCACAATCATGTTCAGTCATATCTTGATGTCGCTCCTGACGGCAATTGTGGTTTCCGCGTCTTTGCGAGTTGCATGTTGGGAGGGCAGAATAATCATGTTTTGTGCAGACAGATAGTGTGTGATGAGATTATAAATAACCCTGGGCTATATGGGAACCTTTACGGGTATGAAGTCAGTTTAATTTTGTGAGCGGTTTTAATACACTTGCATCAATGTTGTTTTATTTAAAACCTTCCTTTACTTCTCTTTGTAGGTGGGAAAAATTACCTGCAAGCCTAGAGCGTATACGGTGGACTGCTATCTCCGTAGGTCACTGGATGTCGACAGATGCTGTTGTTTACTACTTCAGAACAGACGGTGCTGTAAATCTAAACGGCACCTGTTGGACTATGCTACCACTGATCGCACGGGGCGGGGCAACAAGACCAGAGTTCCAGATAGTTATTTGCCACTTTGAGCCTTACCAGCACTTCATTCGACTCAATTTGCAGGGTGATTTTCCGATTCCTCCCATTCACCCCAGTTGGCGGCATGATCGTGATAGTAGTGTTATTGGTTGGGAAGTACCTTTTGAACCCAGAATGCAGGTATGGCGTACTTTGATACCTCCGATAAGACCCACACGGGAATTTTGTGATCTCGGGTGATATGTTGTTTATATATATTTTTTTTATGCAATTGGTGAAATTTTATGATCTCTTTACCTAAATGTTCACATAAATGAAAATGAAAATTGAAAATCAACATAAGTCCATAATGTTCACAAAAACGAAATCGTTACATAAATGTTTTAAAAAAAAACACTGAGTAGAATGTCATGGGGCTTGACTGACATCATCCAGGCGAGTATCTCACTCCTCACCAAGACCCAGATCGAGTTTCTTCAAATTGTCGATGCAACCTCGAGTCAACCTCTCTATCTCAAGCATCCACTACAAATGTTAAATAAAACCATATTAAACCCTTCAAGATAGTACATGTCTTATTAAAAAAAAGGGAATTCTAGTTAGTGTTGAACTTACGTAAGTGGTGCAGTTCTTCGCTGGGATGCGTGATGTAGACGGTACGGACGTTGGCAGTAGGAATGGATGTGAATGGCTTCTGTACCAGTCGAGGTAATCTACAGCTGCCTGTCCTACCTCAGTAGACGATATCGGCATACAATGACTGAGGCTGATGCACTCCGACTCCGGAAATCTAACCCAACAGTTACAGGTCTCGGCAATCGGACAGTCAACAAAATACTTGTGTGCATTTTTCCCGCGAAACTGAGTGACCGGCGTGAGCGGCGCACGAGGCATGTACTGCACGTAACCGAGCTGGCGTAGCACTCTCTCCGGCATGTATGACTCCTGGAAGTCGTGGTACATAATCCACCCACTGAAGATGGTCCTTGGATATGCTGCCGCCTGTTCGCGACCAAATGGCTCCAAGTTGACCTGCGAACATTACCAAAATTTATTATAGTGCATTCAATGAAATACCCCTTACGCAAATATAAAGACTACCTCTTGCTCAGTTATCGCATCGAGTTACGCACGAATCTGCTGGAGACAACTATGAATAGGCTTCGGGCCCTTATAGCTAACTGGTGTCCAGTCTCGGGCTCTGGGCCAACCATCAACACCTCGATGTCCCCGCCTCTTGGAGGGCTGGAAGCATGGAAAATACTCATATATCCATGCCTGGAGAAGGGTCATACAACCAGCCATCGTGGTACATCCTGCTCGACTAGCAATCCCAAGCTGACGGTAGAGAAATGCTAGTGTACCGGATCCCTAGGAGTAAGCTTCAATATTTTGGATACCTCCGTGGAGCTCGTTCATAAACGAAGCACTGATCCTGTCCTCACTCCTGTTAAGGAAGAGTGTCGAGGCTAACAAGATCCACACCCAAGCTTGAACCTGAACAGCGGGGAGGACTCTACGACAACACTCCTCGATCAATATGTCGCTCACACCTCCGTGGCTCCATGCACGCTTTAACTCAGCCACCGGCATCCCAAGCAACCCCGCGACCTGCATCTTCAAAATTTCAGCTTCCGGAGGTTGGGTTAACAAGTAACCATCAAGTGGAATCGCCAAAATGTGTGCCACATCATGCATCATTATGGCCATCTCCCCAAACGGCAAGTGGAAAGAGTTTGTGTCGAGCTGCCACCTCTCTATGAATGCAGAAATAAGCGCAAGGCCAATGTCATCATACATGGTATCAATCAGATGATACAAACCGGTATTCTGAATCTGCAACTGTGCGTTCTCCGGCAACCTCGCATACCATCCATGCAATCTAGACAAACTCTTCTTCGCTAGCTTCATCATCAGGTAATCTCTTGGTTCTCCATTCCACAACTAATAAGCAGTGTGGCCAAGAAAACTAGGAATCATTGACCCATCACATGGCCCGCCGTATGTCGTCCGTCACAACCCAATCATCAGTTCCTTCGGTAGAAACCTTAGACCATCTGCTAGTACTTGAAACCCGAATAAAGAATAGTGGATAAATACTTAACCGAATGCAATTAAGAAATTGACCAAGCAGTAATGAATGCTGAAATATTTACAAATACGTATACGATGCAGCTGCTTCAGGACGGCTAGAGGCACCAATGGATGCGCCACCAAAACGGGAATGAGGCTGACTAGTCAGAGGGGGACCTCTAAAAAGAGTACTCTGCGGGCCGGCATGATGAAGAGTAGTACTGGGACCTCTAAAAAGAGTACTCTGTGGGCCGACACGAACACTGAAACCACCAGGAGTGTAAGCTGAATTCAGGGCCGATAATCCAACAAGGGTCTTCCCCCCTCCCCCCTCCCCCCGGGTAGGGTGAACTAGA